CAAATCTACTAGTAAATACGGACCCCCGTTGGCGGATTTGGACCCCCTTCAAAAGTTAAATATATGTAATGTGAACACAATAATATAAACCAAATTAATAATGGCGATCAATCTGAAGTATTTTATCATAGAAAAATAGAATACAGTGTGACTAAAATCTATCTATAGTCTTTACCAATAACCGGAATCACTGTTTAACAAAAGCGATAGAAATTGCATATGGCATTTGGGTCGACACGAAACACGATTTTCATGAATGTTTTTGAACAATCAAAGTGGTGGTGACTCATCTAAATGGAAGCCTGCGACCATCCACTAATAATTTTTAACAAAAACCATAGAAACAGCATAGAAATAGCAAGGCCATTCCATGAATATTTTTAAACAATAAGTGATGTTTGTGAGTTTTTGCTAATGGTTTTTTAACAAAAGCCATAGAAATAGCATATTAGACCAACGTTGTGTGGTTGATAGGTAGGTCCGGGTATCTGAAAACTAATGAATTTAACATATTCACCTTTATTGGGGTTGTTTTTAGTGTATAAAACTGTTTAAAAAAGGGGGTCCATATCCGCTAAAGGGGGTCCATATCTGCTAGGTGATTTGGACCGGGGGGTCCATATCTACTAGGAGATTTGGACCGGGGGGTCCAAATCTACTGGGGGGTCCAAATCCGCTGTGACACCGGGCCCCCAGTTTAAGGGGGGCCCCCAAATTTGGAAAATAAAATAATTTGGTGAAATTTAAAATAATTTAAAATAACTTTTTTGATATAAATAATGGTGTGAGAAAAAATTTTCTAAACCTAAATTTTACAGATATTGATCCAAAATGTTTTAACAAGAATTTGTCCAGAAAAATTTTTTTGAACCTTAATTAACCTAACTGATGTTAGTCTGGAAAATTTTTTTGACCCTATTTTAAATGTCTGGAAAAAATCCCCCCCCCTGCTATAAAAATGTGCCCTGGGCCCACAAATTTCTCTGATAGGCCCTGTCTGTTGCAAACACATATTTTTATAAGAGATTTCAACTGTGTAATATTCTGAGTATACAGTCACATGAACTCACTTTCTCGCCATGTCGTGGGTATTTGTACAGCTCCTAGTTCGTCTCCAGACTCATCAGAAGCTGTGCCGATGAAATCAAATGTCAGACAATTGCATGTGAGTTGAAGTAATTCACTCATTAATACATGCTAAAAAAACATAAAATAGTGAGCATAAATGCAAATTGCCAAATTAACGTTTTTCAACAGATCATACTTATATTCTGTGAACTAATATATTCCCGAAATATTGGAATTGAATCAAAATATTGAAATACTGGAATGGAACTGATTGGAATCAGGTTGCTAACATATTCCGACCCTTTTATCGCTACATTTCATTCTTGATTAATTTGCTTAATTAAATACAGTTTAATAAATCATGCAAATCCTTTGTGGGCAAATTGGGTGACGGAGAGTGCGGTTTCTTGGGGGTAAGGGCCCCCGGAAAAGCTGGAGTAACAACATCGACCAGAGTGAACTGAGATAAAATTTGGCTAGCTTTTGCTGATACCTGAAGAATGTCAGCTTAGCAAAATGGGATTATATTGGCAATTTGGCATTGACACTTGGCAGATATTGCCTGGAGAGTAAAGTGGTTGTTTTCTTTGCTTATCGTTTCCGTTTAGGTTACATAGTTTTGGATGTTGCCTCTTATTAATCCTAATTTATTTTTTAAAATAAATTGCTCCAATAAGCCATCAAGCTTTAAAAAGAGCATTGTCACAACTTAGTTACTTGGTTAATCAGCTATTGTTAAGAGTTTTAAGAAATGATTGAGTGAAGAGGGTCGCCCCGCCCTAGACTAGCGGCCGTCACAGGTTCTAGCCATGTTACCATACTGTACCTGATTTTGTTCTTGTAGATTGATATGTTTCTCAAACGCCTCTTTCAACAGTGAACAGGAGAGTATAAATATGTCATATAATGCCACATCACGAAATGAAGACGCAATCTATACAAGGATTAATAAATGTAGACAGACCATGGTTTGAAAAACAAATCTCAAATAATTTGAAAAGTGGTAATATAAGCATGCACCCATAAATTAGCTGAATTTAGAGGTGAATTCTTCTAAAATACTGATTTGTTTGAAAAGTTATATTATAAACACTCACAAACTTTTATCATCTAACATCCAAACAATTCCAAGTTTGATAAAAAAAATTGGGGAAACTTTAATGCTATTACAGTCAAACCGGAACAATATTGTGGGACAATATTGCAATTTTGATAAGCAGATTGCTCTGAGCAATTTGCAACCGACACAAACAAATTGCAAGTTGAAATTCACAAACGATTTGAAAACAAAGGCTCTGATTGGACTATAAGAAAGAGGGAAGCACCAATCCAGTCGCTCAGACTATTTGATTGGCTTCCCTCTTTCTTATAGTCCAATCAGAGGCTTTGTTTACAAATCGTTTGTGAATTTCAACTTGCAATTTGTTCGCGTAGGTTGCAAATTGCTCAGAGGAATATGCTCATCAAAATTGCAATATTGTGGGACAATATTGCAATGTTGCTCGCAAGAGAACATCCGGTTTGACTGTAATAATATCTCATTTTCAAATTTTCGCTATGTGTGCAATAAAATCCAGTCAACTCTTATCAACTCTCATGCAACTTTTGTTCTCATTTGACTGAGGAAGAATGCACCTGCAATGTTATAATTGTACTCACTTTTCTATGCTTAGTCAAAGAACGACAAGAACTGGCCTAAATGAAATGAAATATAACAGGTTATACACAAACAAGCTTGAATCACATGCATACCAGGATTCTAACTATTGTATTATACCTGATTCATTTCACACACTGTAGTAGACAAGATCTGGACACCAATAATCCAGTATTCTACTGAGCCCTATATATTAGAAAAAACATAAGCTGCAACATTCAACACTTGTAAGTGTTTTGAGGTGTTATGTTCAGTGGTGCCACCCCACCTTCACAGAAAACTGATGAATTTTCGGAAATTTTGACTAAAAACAGTCTTTTCGAGGGCAATCGGAAATTTGAAAGTTTTGTCGGGAATTTAGGAGGCTTTGCCCGCCCCCCCACCGGAAAAAGTGAATTTCCACCACTGGTTATGTTATGTAATAAATAGGCTATCTAGAAAACAAACTAAGTTCCACCTTGAAACTTAACCCTTTAAGTGGCAATGCACCCGATGCGCCCTACTTTAGTATTTTACTCTGTCTAATGCCAGACGATTTTACTCTTCAAGTGGAGAGTGCTGCCACTCAATGGGTTAATATTTGATAAAAATAAGAGGAGACAATATTCGATAGTACTGACCTTAAGAAATTCCTTTATTTCATCTGTTATCTTACGAAATACAAACTCCTCTTTTTGACTATCAAACCAGCTTAGTTTTGTTATTCTGGCCAACAACTATATATAGTAAAGAATATATCCATATATCACAATAACTGTAGGTATTATACACATGACTGGTGAGAGGGACCAGAGCAAAAATTTCCCAGGGGACCCTTATGATGTCATAAAACTTTCCCTGGAGCCCACACAACATCAAACAGGAGAAGCGGTGTTTTACAATACATTGTGCTTTATTATATTGCATCTTATCCAGCACCGATGCAGCTATCAAGAAACTTTAAATGCCTTCATCACTTTGGATTGAGCTGGGGGCCTGGGCCAAAGTGCCCCCTCTCTTGGTACGCGCGTGGCTCTGATTATACATTATTGGTACAGTTTGGCATGGTCACCCTGAACCTACATCATTAATTATGAATGAGGATAATTATATGCCTCATAATATATCCCAAAGGTCACAGGTTCGATTCCCACCATGGTCAGGCAAACGTTTCAGCTTGCCCGGTGTGAATGCACACTCACAGTAACATTACAAACATCATATACAGTATATATTATTGGATAACATGTGAACCTCACTTTTATTTATTCACCAGAAAATACCACATCTTTCGTCATAATGAAAAGAATTAACATTATTCTCTCGCTCCGCAAACAGCTGGTTGACCTCCTGCTAAGTGAAACCAGCCACCTCTAATGATTGAATATATTTTTATACCTGTATGAGAGCTTGTCTTACAAATGGAAGAAGTTTTGGCCTTGAACCCAAGTAATTCAAAACATAATTTCCTAATAATAAAAAAACTTATTAACACCAAAACGTCAATAATAAAAATACTGGTGGCAAGTGGTTTCATTTTAAAAGCAATATTTCTTATATTTCCTTGCAATATGACACAGAAGAAGGTAGGCATACACTTACGAATATCAACTTTTTGTTGAACTGTCAACACACCAGAATTTCTTGATATCAGTTTACTTATGGATGAAGCAGCGAGAAGTTGTGAATACGAAGACTAAATAATTCAATAAAAGGAGAGTTTAATAAAAATAAAATTTTGTGCAATTTACTCAATAGAATGTGAAACTTTTATAAAGTTTTTCATAGGAGAAAAATTCATAACTTTAATGAACACCTTAAATGTGTACCACATTAGGGGCTCTCCAAATATAGTTAGCATCCACAAGAATAACCCATAACTAATAGGACAAACAATGTGTTTTCACTTTCACTAGCACATTAATTGTTTTTGAGTTGCACACATATAATCACAAAGATCAGAGCACATGGGGCCCAAGTCAACACATAGTTTTCATCCTGATTCACAACTTGTTCCAAGAAGAAGGGATGGGAGCACAAAATCAGGATTGCTAACTAATACACGCTTCCAGAAACTACGTCATCTTGGCTATAGAACCTTGTTTTCATGATGACAATTTATGCTCAGCTTCAACTGTTGTGCATGTACACAAAAACGGTTCTATAGCCAAAGTGACATACTTTCCGGAAGGGTGTATCGGTATGGAGACTGACTTTTCTGAGTACACCAGACATATTAAATGCCCTGCAATTGGGTAGTGGACAAGGAGTAAAAGTGTTTGTTTTGTCTTGTCAACTTCCTGCAAAATATTTGCCCCCACCCCTTACCACATGATCCACATCTACTGCTCAAAAGTCTTTGCAACACACTATACTATTAATATATTATAGTAGAATAACGTTTGAATATAATTTTAAGACTACTTTTTGACTAATTTTTAGAAAGATATCATTTGAAAATCACAGTGACAGTACAATAGAATATATACTATATAATGTAAACAGAATGAACGCATGGTACTTGTCTGTAAAACGGCTGATAAAATAACAATTAAGGAGCAATCAATATGCACTGTTATAGCATATCAAACGGCAATAAAACAAGAAATACACTTTTCAATATATAAAGACTTACAGTGCCCCGCTCTAAGACGTACTGGCATTTCTGTAAGCAATCAGGAGACTCTGTAAAGCTGATCAGTGCTTTTTCAGCTTGACCTCGAACTGCAGCGTCAGTACTTTCATAAAGTTGCTTGCAAAGTACCTCTAACTGCCCAAGTTTCTGCAGATTTAGATAATACAGATAAAATATATCGTTATGCAAAAAAAAGAAGCAAAATAAAGTTGAAAAGTTTAGTTTCTTTATCACCCGTGCACTAACCTGGTCGTCCATATTGGAAATTGCCTGAAATTCAGTTTACTCCACCTGAATTCCACAGGTTTTGCAGGCAAAATGAACGTGTTTCGCGCGTTGATCGTTTGCTTCGTGCATCGATGCTTGCATTTCGCGCGCGTTGCAGAGTTGCAGGGTGGGGAAGAGGCCTCAGAGTGACAAAACCTGGCCTCAGAGTGACAAAACGTAACAAAGCAACGGTTTTACTAACACTAACCCTATTCCAAACACCAACTCTAACCCTAACCCTTACCTAACCCTACTCTAGTTTGTTTCTAAACCAATCTTGAACAAAAAAGTTTTGACGAAATGTCATCAGGGACGCCGGAACTGGGGGGGGGGGGCGGCTGCTCAAAAATTGAAAAAAATTTTCCGGTAGATTTTGAACTTTCGTTCTATAGAGGTGCCCTTGGTGTGCGTCCGCCCCCCTTTGCCTTATTATCGTTCCGGCATCCCTGAATGTCATTCTGCTATTCTAAGGTCAGCGAAATAACTTCTTCCTGTGATTGGTCAGCGAAAAAATTCGCCGCGAAAAATTGGATCATTTCCTACTTTTTTACTGTTCGCTCGAACAGATTCGCCCAGTGGAAAATGGACTTGATAGATTAACAGGCTTGTAGCAACTTGTTTTCGGCCTGCATTTCAACAACCTTATTTGTGTCACAAACATTAATTTGTGGGATCCCTTAATTCACGCGTAATTACGTATTGAGAAATTAATAATTCTTCGAATCTTCGTACTTTACAATCAGCAATTGGGCAGAGAAACAGACGAGAAATAGCAGCTATAAACGTGTGCTACGTAGGCTACCAGAAAGATTAAGAAAAAACAGACATGCAAACTGGAAGATTTTTTAACTTTATTTATCCTTCTACAGTTACATTTTATGTTCTAACTCGCACCTTTACTTCAACGTGCTTCGCTGGCCTAGAAAAAAATAAAGGAAATGATTTATTCAAATGTAAAAAGGTTTGACTGAATCTCTATAAATTGACCTTGCCTTCACACAAAAAAAAAAAAAAAAAACATTTCCAGCGCCTTACCAAATCACTGACAATCGTCCTTAGATGCAGCTCCACGTAGTGTTATAGTTTTTCCTGAAGAACATTTCAAACAACTTGATTGCCTGAAATTAGGTTGATACGTTCCAACTGGACAGGCGATGCAGTTAGCTAGACCATTGCCAAGCTGCGAGTATTCACCTGGACCACAAACACCTACCGAAAGTAAAGATATGGAATGTCAAGTCGCGACCATGTAAATGTAGCAGGACGGTGCTAATCATCTTTACTTGCTGGCGAGTATTGGATTGCGAAGGACGCAGCTCAAACGTTACCATTGACTCAGTCACCCATGTCTGATCACGGAATACACAACAAAGAAGGGTTAGATTTTGCCCAGGAAAGAAAACTCAGAGAAAACCCTCGAAGTACAAGAGGGAACTAATTACAAATGTACTTACATGAGTTTTTACATGTAAGTAGATCAAGTGAGAGCAGGTTAGTTGCCCATCAGATAACAATACCATACCATCGACCTACAAGACTGCGCTTAACTTAGCTGCAAAGGGAAGCTCGCTTAACCGTACCTACATGCATGCTCATTGATACACCTCTAAAATCAGTAACGAATGATTTGCATAAGCAGCCAAAAGGCAAGATAGATATAGTCTGCCAGGCTTTAGGGTTTCATCAAGGTTCGCAAAAAAATTACCACAAAAATATTAACCATACCTATACACTCAGTTTGGTTTGTTGCTTGATTACCAAGTGTCCATGTCCCCTCTGGACAGTGGGTACACGACAATTCACCCTCACCATCCTGGTATGTCCCCTCAGGACACGGAATACACTCTTCATCCTCATTGTAGAATGTGCCTTCTGGACATTTAACTGAAAATGTTTAACGTAGTTTTGTTGGTCGTATTACTCGTATAACAAATTTCTCAATTCTGCTGCATTGATTGCGAGAAATTATATCAAAACACCATGCCGAGAAACAAAAACTTACTCGCCCATATTTCCTCCAAATTACATCAACAAAAATTTAGAGATTTTACCGAATTCTTTACTGAATCCGAGGGGATCTCGGTATTATTCTACAAAACGTTTGCTTACCACAGGAAGATCTGGCTAACTCATCACCATCTCCTTGGTAAACTTTCAGAATCTCACCAGCCTTGCACGCCAGTTTTGACTGATATCCCTCTAAATGCATACCAGTGATGCCCATTTTGGAAACAATCTTTTGATCAGCTGCAAGTTCTGTCGCATCTAGATCCATTTTCATCATTTCGTGTTGCTGCAACGCTTTAGCTTTATCTTTCCAGGATGTTTTATCACGAATCACAATCTCGACTGACACAACCTGCCTGGAGACATCGCCACTTCTCTTGCTCTTACCACAATACACTTTAACATTGGAGACATCGCAGTTAGCCTGATGCTTATTACAGTAAACCAGTTTTGCAATCATGAAGTCATTCAGAGCTGCAATGAAGTTTTGTTTGATCACTTCCAGACTCTTGGGGTCGTTTTCATTGCATTTTCCAACATAGGCATTGATGACTTTCTTCACTCCGGCTGCGTTGTCTTCCTCTAAATAAATAATGACAAAGTACATATGACATTCCGTTTCCCCATTTTCAACAGTACATAAACGTTAAAGACTTTTTAGAACTTTTCATGGTGTAAATATAAGACACATTTCAGGAAAAATCATAGATTGGACACCCAGTACATATTGTCAAATATCCTTACCAGTGCAATCAACCCAGGGTCTGACTGACTTATCACTAAATCTATTATATTTCGCTGGAAAGTTATTGAATCCAGTCCATACTCCATTGCCACACTGATAAATTTCGTAGACATTATCTGAGATATACGCATAACCTTGTTGACACTGTGTAGTGCAATATAAATGATGTTCATATTTCTCGTCCACTTTCAAATTACAGGTATGAGCACCGTTCCTTGGCGGGTCAAATACTGGGCAGTGAAGAACTATAAAAAAAGAAGAATTATAAATGGTTACGTGTGCATTTATTTCGAGGGTCTATAAATGGACATCTTTGGTTGTCAGATCCAAACTGCTGTTTCTCTTGTGTCTTCGTTTATGTCCTTGTGTTTTCTTTTCTGTTGTCATCAGTGTTATTATACCTGAAATAATGACATTGAATTGACAGGTAGCTACATTTCCAGATTTATCAGTGGCTGTGTAAGTAATTTTCGTTTTGCCATAATAGAAGAAAGTTCCAGTGTGTTGATTGGATGCTATTCTTGGTTGGGGATCGTAATTATCTTGAAATTTAGGATCGTCCCAGCTTACTCTTTCTTTGTCCTTCGCGCTGATGATCGTAACATCTTTTGGACATTCCAGGACCTTTGGTTTTTCCATATCTAAACAAACAATTTACAAAATGAAGTGCTTTTCTAACTGTGTGTTTGAGTAAAAGAATATCTTACCTAACCTGGACACTTGCATAAATGCAACTAAACTATACCTAAATTGAGCTAACTTTATTTATACTGGATAGCTCTATCGATTCCAAGTTGTTCTCCCTATTGTAAAGACCGTCCCTTCATAAATGACCTGTGCTACTGCAGGAGGAAACTGCAAGCTCTCTTTTCACATCACTGAGAAAATTGCATACTACAGACATTGGCGGACATTAGGGGGCAATTCCCCCTCTCCCTCCCCCTCTAATAATTTCTGACAGCTTTAAAATGATAGCTGAATAACCGTTTAACGAGGGTCCTGAAGGGGTAAAATGGGAACTGGGATTGATCTATTTCTAGACTGGGAAAATGGGATTTGGGTTGCTGGGACTGGGATTTGGCCACTGGGAATGGGAAATGAAGTCCTCAAAAATGGGAATGGGATTGAGGTAATGCGAGTCGATTCCCAATTTTTCTGCGTTTTGAGTATTTTAAAATACAATTTTGATCCGTTTTTGGTGTCTTTGGTCATGATTTTTGTTGTTAACTATATTATTCACAGCACTACCTGCGAACAGGCATACTCTGGCGCCCGGAATTCTGGGTTTTCTGATTATGCGTCTCAGAATGCTGCAAATGCCATTTCCGGGATTCAAATTTAAAAATTTTTCGTGCCTTCGGCACGAGACCCCCCTCTAATATTTCATGAAGTGTCCGCCACTTGCTTAAAAGGTCTTAAAACTGTTTATTCTACCGATAAATAAAGGGGTTTTTATTGACTGGGATTTCAATAACTGGGACTGGGATTTCTAATAAAAATCCAACTGGGACTGGGATTTTGCCAAAATTTCAGGTGGGAAATGGGATTGGGACCCCCCCTTCAGGACCCTCTTTAACAAAACTGTAACAATAATTTTTCAACCATGAAATCATTGGTAGGCTATAAATAAAGTTATATATTGCGGGAATTTAAGTCAAAAATGTTTGAAAAGAGTCAACACTGATTTTACGAGCTGTAAGTATAAATCCATAAAATTAAGAGATGTCAGTAAAGCTCACCTTTTATAGTAACATACCAAGTACATTTTCTGGTGAGTCCAGCATCGTCTCGTGCGGTATAAACAACTTCGTACGCATGCTCCGAAATATCAAACACATGTTGTGCTTTACCAACGCTTGTCGTAACAGTCGGGGCTTTCCCGCTGTTGTCTTCAGCGCGTTGCGGTTCTGGAAGAATGACCGTTTTGTATTTTTTGCCGACATCAGTGCCAAATGTGGCAGGCGATGGACAGGTTATATCTGGCGGTTGTTCGTCTAAGAAGAAAAGTTAACAGTAAAGGTAGGAAGAGGATAAACCTGCAGAATCATTCCAATATTTCCAGGCGGGTTTTAGGGAATAGACCTTTCCCCTGATGAGTGAAATTTTGATCTAGACAAGCCTGGACAAAAATTTCATCACAGCTTGAAAGAGCATCAGAAAATTAGTAATATTCCGAAGTTTCGTTGCGAAATGTTGTAAAATGCGGATAATATAACCTTGCGAAGTTTGCCGTTTTTCAATCATTTTGTATTACAAATGGAAATTGATAATCAGTTTGATCATCTGATTATCAATTTCTATTTGTAATGCAAAATGACTGAAAAACGGCAAACTTCGCAAGGCTATTTTATCCGCATTTTACAACATTTCCCAACGAAACTTTGGAATATTACTAATTTTGTGATTTTGTCTTAAGTTTGAGTAAAGATTTTTCTGTGCTCTACACAGTATTTTCTCTTTTGCCCCAACCTCGACCATAAATAATGCCCAGTCCCTCATCCTACCTTGACAGGAAGCATCTGAGGAAGACCACACTCCGCTACTTAGACACGTTGTGGTTGGATTATTTCCAGTTCTTTTATATCCTCTCAGCCCAGTGCATTCAAGAGTACAGTGGGAATTACACCTTTGTTGTCCTTGAGAACATTGTGATCTGTCCCATCGGCCAACGACAGGATTTGACAGTGCGGGACAGTAGACCACTGCGAAGAAAAAACATGGCTATCATGAATGAATAAATCGTTTAGTATGTATAGGAAATCTTTCCTGATACTCGTAAGATATTAGGACTCCGTTATTCTGAGCGAGCACCTTTTATCGGCAGCGTACAGCCACAGTGAAACGTGAATGACGGTTGGGAATGAAATTGAGTTGCGAGAGTTTGCATGAGAGTTTTCTCAATTCTGGCATGCATGAGAGTTTTCTCAACTCTCATGCCCCGGTCAAACGAAAACGAGAGTTGTTTTGACATTACTGTGTGTGTAGCTTAAATTCTCACCAACTTTCATCAAAATTTGAACCATCTCAAACTCTCACGTTTGACCGGTACTTCACACAAAAATATTTCAAACCTGCACACTTAGTTACCTCTTTCTTGCACCTGCGTCACATCATCGGGACATGTTTGCGGCTGAATATTGTTGCAGTTGTTTACTTGTGTTTTGTAATGAATTGTTTTTTTCTGTCGTTGATAACGCGCGATAGTGATACAATGTCCAGGTCTAGTTTGAACTACAGACCAGGATGTCCATGGCAGAGTTTCGCATTTTGCGTATCGACAACTACCTGCGAAATAAAATAGATCACTTTCACTACTTGTTTCCAGCCTCGTACCCAGGCTCTTTAGTACTTAATAGCGTTCAGAGCTCTGGATGAGCTAGGCGCGCGGGGATTGTTGGGCCCCGCGCGCCTAAAAGCTCGCCCAGAGCTCTGAACACTATGAATTACTAAAGAGCCTGGGTACGAGGCTGACATGTTTCTTGTGCCTTTTCCTTTGTGACCGCGGCAATGTGGACACAACGGGTTAATAAAATATATAAGTGCGCATTCTATTCACGTCAAAAGTAGATTAAAGTTTAGAAAGGTAGTGATAATACAGCGCCCTTAAGCTTTCATTTTTAGCCAATATCTAGGGATTAGAATCTAAATTATGTTGGAGAGGCAGCATTTCTTAAATTACGGTTGCCATTGAGTAATTTTAAAAAGAAAACAATAGACACTCCGAAAATAGTTAACATTTTAATCAATGTTTCGACTAGGTTTCAGAATTCATCATCAGTCATCATCAGAATTCCTGATGATGACTGAAACCTAGTCGAAACGTTGATTAAAATGTTAACTATTTTCGGAGTGTTTATTGTTTTGTTCTCTTAGTATTTCTTAAGCCAGCGTACTTTTTATTAGAAAAGTACATTTCTTATTCATCCAAGGATTAGGGTCAGTGTTATAGGGTAAGATTAGGTTATATAGGATTGGACGTTAGTCACATTATAAGGATTGAACTTACAAAGTGTTCTGTAGTCATATTCACCATTCCCACAGCTACTTCGTATGCCACTACAGCTATTATCTTGCTCACGATATCTCACATTATATTCATTCCAACCCCTGTATCTGCTCTGTCTAGAACATTGATTGGTAGGCACGTGACCTGACCATGAACCCCAGCTCTTCAGGCTGCATGTCTGTACCTCACGACACGAACCTGGGATAATAAATTCCATAAATTATTTCGGTAACAAATTATAGTTATGAATCCAATATATTAATTAATTATTACCAAAAATTATTAAGGCCGTATTGTTGCAATTTTTATTTGATATAGAATTAGAGAATCAAATAAATCATTCTGAATGTCCTATAATACTGAACTTGGAAGCAATGGCCTTTAATCTATGGAAAAAAAACAGTCTAGACAAAATTAAGGGAGGTTTCAAGCCTACTAGATAAGTCAGATAAAGTTAGGAGAGTTATTCTGAATGTCCCACTGTAATAACATTGAACTAGGAAGCAATGGTCTTTACTGGACCTCTATGGAAAAAAACAGTCTAGACAAAATTGACATTACAATTTGTTGTGTGAAACGATTTTCCAAGCTTTCTGACATGTATTTTTTATATTTTTTGCCTTTTCACTATAGATAAAGTTAAGAGAGTTATTCTGAATGTCCCACTGTAAAGGTCCAGACACAGCGGACGCGATTCGACAACGCGACCCGATTTTTTAGTTTTTGAAAGTTAAATAAAACAGCCAATGAGAACAAATTTTGAAAAATATGTAGACCAAATAATTCAAAATGTTCTAACGCTTCTAAATTATATTTGGAAAATTTAAACTAGGATTAAAGTTATTGTTCAGTGAAAATCGAAAAATCGCGTCGCGTTGGCGAATCGTGTCTGGTGTGTATGGACCTTAATAACATTGAAGGAACTGGAATTAACTGGAAGCGATGGCCTTTACTGGACCTCTATAAAGCCTGGGTCGTAAAAAAGATCGACCATATTGGGTCGTAAAAATAGAGTCACGATCTTTCTCAACGGCCAGTTTATTATAGTTTATACCTGTAAACCACATATAAATTATAAGTATTCTCTAGTTATAATCACTCCGCGTATTTTCAGTTCTAAAATTGTATTTCTTTACGACTGTTAAGGCCCGTTTGCACTTGCAATTTGTGCTGCAATTTCTAGATCGATTTTCTTCTTCTGATGGATGGGAAAGAGTACATAAGTTATGAATGCCCTGAGTGTATGTAACAACAACAACCTCATCTAAACATTCCTATAACTCATCCACTCGTTCACATACATCAGGAGAAGAAAATCGCACCTAAAATCGCAGCGAAATTTGCAAGCTTTACGACCATATGGAAACCAGGTTTAAGTAATAAGGAGAACAGTTTAGACTAATAGAGCTATCCAGTGTAGATAAAGTTAGTTGAATTCTCAAGGTCAGACTTACATCGTGTTCTACTCTGAGATCTCCAGTTACATGAGGTCGATGCGGGACACGGTGCTGTTCCATGGTTCGTTTTGTAAAGATGCGTTGAATATCGTGATTGATAAACACATTGCCCTTGACGAACGCCCGGTGAGTAAGCGTCTCTCCAGTCGTGATAACATGTCCGCCAGGAACACGGCTGAGGCGCTGGTCGGCGGCGTCTAGAACATGAGTGAACCGAAGACAGGGCCTGTATGAAGACACAAATCCAAAACACTTTGAACATCATGGATTAACCGGTTCTCTTGGAAATCTTTATATAAGCGTAAACACTTTATTGTCTCGCTATTCAGACTGAAGTACGGAGACAGTATAATTCTAGTTTCTTTTTCATTTTACCAGATTAATAATAAGTATTTATTTAGCTGCATTGTATAATCATCCAGTGTAATAGTTAGTCAAATAACCACCAATACTCATTTATCAAGCGAGACACAAGAAAAATCTTATTTTGCCTTCAATTTATTCTGTAAATGTCAAAAAGTATATTTAAATGGTAAGAATGAAAAATGTTATGATGAGGAAGAGAAAATACAAGTTTTCAATATGCAACTAGTTATTTTATGTAGCAAAAATCTCATCAAATTTTTATATGATAATGAGGCTACAAACGCAATTTATATGCATTAAAAACCAATAATTATTCATTAACCATTTGTAAAGAAACTATCAGAGCAGTGATAGAAAAAGTAATCTTTTTTTAAATTCATTTCATTTTAATGATAACCTAACACTACCAAAGGCAAAACCGAAATTTTCAACCGCGAAATGTTCTAAATGATAAAGGTAATTACAATTAATGAAAATTATTCGCCGATAAAGGTGAACATTTAATATACGAGCAACACAATTGCTACAACTTGCAACAAGCTGGAGTTGATTTGAATGCATGTTATTTAATAATGTTCACGCATCAGTCAACAGTCGTCAGTTTTATTGCAAGTTGCAGGAATTCTCCAGCTCGTATTCTACATATTCCATGCAACACTACAGACATATATTCTGAGAGAATATACACAATTTAAAATACTTAGGGATCAATTATTGTGGTTAATACAATGAGAGTTGGAACTTACCTAAAATGCATTGCGACCCTATTTTCCTTGAGAACAACGACTGTGGGGTTAGCAATTGGTAAGCATTTCTTTTCGTACGCATGCACAGAGACGTTCGTAGATTTTTTTAATTTTTTTGTTGCAAATTCATGCAGCCACTATGACAGAAAACTACGATATATTCAGCCGTTATAATGGTCGGAAAACCGGCCGCAGTGTTGATTAATCGAAAAACAAATTTCAATGAATCAACACAGTATTTACATAGTATTTATTTGCTCAAATACATTATTAATTGGAAAAACAGCGGCAAGTACGAGTTGTCAATGGATATTCCGACAGAAGGAGCCCTCTCCATAACATTATGCCATCCAGTTCGGAATACTCAACTGTTGGACTTCTGTAATCTGTTTGTGTTTATTCTGTGTCACCGAGTCCTGAATCGACTCACTATTGTTTTCACATATTCGTGATGTTATGTAAAAGACTATAGGAAATTATGACTATATGCTGTACAGTTTGAAGTTCAAATAATTGCTTTAATTGTTTTGATCTAATATAAATTTACATATCAATATATACATACAATAACTTTATACATGTAACATAACCGACTGCTGATTTTTTTAACTTTATTGATAACAAACTGAGAGATTTACTCAGCTGAATAATAATAATAATAATAATACTGAATAAATTACGTATATCTTTCACAAAAGTGGAAATTGTCGAAATTGTTACCCAACAAATCAATTCTGGGCAATAAAACCAGGTAGACACTATATTGCGGAAATTCACTTTTTCAGGCGGTGGGCAAAGTTGACTCTTGCTGGACTGTTTTCATACAGGGTGTAAAATATTCGAAAATTGCGAAAGTACCATTTAATTCCGAAACATGAAAAAATGCGATTTCGACCGTTTTTTATCGAAATGATACAAAAGGGTGTTACTTGACAGCTAAGACTCTTATCTTTATTACTTGGAAAAAAGTAATTCCATCACCTCAATAATGAATACCGAACGTATGGTTACATACCATAGGATTATTTTTTTATATATATCCGCTTACATTCTAGCGGAAAGTGTCACTGACCTCTAAAAACGTCTGGAGAGCGCAAACCCATTGTTGATTCGCAACCCATTGCAGAAAATGAAGGCAGTTAAACATTATTATAGACAATAGCGATTCGCCATAACTAAGGAAACAAAATTCTGGATAACTGTTTGTATTTAATCTGAAACGTCTTCAGACTTTCACAATAGCAGAACCCTTTTTATTTTGAGATAAAAACCATTATAGGAGTTAGAAAGTTTGTCAGTTGGCCCCTTAGCAATGGCTGACTACCGGCTTCATTTTGAACACAACAGATATCAATCCAGTTTTATTTCGACACCATAGACTATTTATTGCGGATGGATAAGAATTCAACTACCTGAAAAAAACTTCCTGACGAAGAGCCTTCGCTGGAAACGTCAAAGTTTTAATTGTATTTTTAGTTCAATCCATGTCCATCCGCACTTTCTGCTGTTTTTGCCACAGACCGAGTTTAAATCATAGACTCTTTACGTTGTCTATATTTTGCAGGTGTTGTTATCGAGAAACGTTTATAGATACTTTTCTTGCATTTACGTTCATGTTGACACAGAAATTTAAGGCAAAAAAAGTTTAACGAACTGAGATTCCAGCAAAAAAATGTGCATGGTCATATGGTGGAGGCAAGCTATGTGTGTCTGCCCCACTGGTAATACAAACAATATGTTCAGGTTGGCGGGAAACAGCCATGCAAGACGACCAGTGCATGGTGGCGGCAAGCTATGTGTGTCTGCCCCACTGGTAATACAAACAATATGTTCAGGTTGGCGGGAAACAGCCATGCAAGACGACCAGTGCATGGTGGAGGCAAGCTATGTGTGTCTGCCCCACTGGTAATACAAACAATATGTTCAGGTTGGCGGGAAACAGCCATGCAAGACGACCAGTGCATGGTGGCGGCGTAGCACCATAAGTTACATCAAATGTTTCTTACTGCTCCGTATCTTGAACCATATTTTCTGCTGGTTCGCACGTTGGTTCTTCAGATGGTTTACTAGATATCTGCTCGTTTGTGTCAACGACGTTTACTATCTGGTCGTTTGTGTCAACAACGTTTACTACATTTTGCGACACTGATTGGTTAGAGCCTCGAGATTGAATGGAGCCACGTGACAGGCCGGTGGGCAACTTCGCACTATCCAACAGCGAGCCTGCACTACTTCTCATTGTGATGTTCAACGACAACCGACTTCGTTGCAACTTGCGAGCCTTCCTATCACCGGCACGTGAACGGAGTTCATGTAATTTCTTAACAATTGTTTGGAATAGTCTTTTAAACCCGCTGCGGTATGTTTTGTTAAAACATGAATAAATTATTGGGTTCGCACAACTGTTAAAATAAACCAGCCATTTTGCGGTTGTCACTATGTCAAGATTCGGCGCAGGTTGCACGTCAAAATGAAACCAAATAAGAAGAATCATATTGGGAGTATAACATACAAAGAAGGTTCCAATAACAATACCGATTGTTTTAATGGCTTTCAAGTCCGTTGCTAAGGCGCCATCCTGACGTAAGCGCCTTGTTTGACGACGAGCAACGAGCCAGATTTGAGCATACATTATTAAGATTATTACGAAGGGTAGGAAATAGCTTGTGGACACGATAAATACACTCAAATGACTTTTTTGTCCAAAAGGATTAAGCTCTGTTGTTACAGAAATTGTCAACGAAAACATCCATAGGCAAGCCATGGAGATATAAACACGGATAGGTGATATCCACTTGGTATAGTAGAATGGCCGAGATATAGCCAGGTTTCTTTCTACACCAATTGCTGCTAGTGTCCATACACTGGTTAGACAAAGGAAGAAATCCATTATCTGCCAAAATGTTAGAAGGGTAATCTTGTCAGGCGTGAAGTATGGTCGTGGTGTATGCAGTTGATACACTAAATACACGGGCATTACACAGATAGCGACAAGAATATCAGATATACTAAGACTGACGAGAAAATAGTGTGTTATGGAGCGAAGGTTCCTGAACATCGTAAAACTGATGCACACGACAAGATTGCCAGTAATGGCAATAAATATCAAAAGTGCCAGGGAGAAAGCTTTCGCAATTCCACTTGTTGTAAAACCGTCGATGTTATTCATCGCCGGATTGTTTGCACCTAAAGTAGCATTTGTTGTCGTGGTTATATTTGAGGAAAGGTTTGGATACGTTGGCGCAATTGTCAAGTTCATTTCTAAAAACAAAATAGAGAAGGATTTGAAGTTTGTTTACATCAACTAGTTTAATATACTCGAAAAAGAGGGTGGGGTCTTGGGGTCTCGGAATTCTGAAGAATATTTGCCTGGCAACAAACACAGAAACATTCTCAATTTGTAACACATACTTCATGGAAGTATCTTAAGGACTAACGTTTGGCTATTTGCCTTTGCGTCACATTTATTGTTCCATTATACCGAACGATGGATGAGAACAAAAGTAACAAGAGAGCACTCGGAAACATGCATGCTTCAATCAGCGACTAAAGTTATGCATAAATTATACAATTACGTATTCAGATTTACTCTGCCCGGCAAAACAAGACAAACGTTTGCTAATTTTTCATTCAATTTAATACAAAAATTTTACACGTATAAAAATACGTGTGATAGTTTTCGAGTTATCATGCTGACAGACGCGCACGCACGCACGCACGCACGCACGCACGCACGCACGCACGCACGCACGCGGATGAAAAATAACGTGCTGGAGTCGTGAATGCTTGGTTACTTTTGTTCTATTCCATGCTTTCGTAAACTGAAGCAATGCATGCGAGTTATCTAAAGCAATGCATCTGCACAGAGTACTTGCACACAGAGCTCTTCCTTCTGCGGGAAAACCGTAAGGTAGTTTTTTTTTAGCAAAATAGCTGGCGATCATGTTCTTAGCAAGTGCCCTAAGAAGAGGCATTCACCCCCCCCCCCCCCCCCCCCCCCTCCTGGAACATTAAATTTCAATGTTTTCAGGGGTAACGGCCTCTTTGTTCTCTCTCTTTGCTAAGAACATGGCGGACTGAAAAATCCCTTACGCTAAATTAACCTGAAGTGAGACATCTGTATGTAATTACTCTGTGTCGTCTGGTAGCAACAGCACAAACAAGCGTTAAACTGCGTTTACACGCTACGATTTGTCGTGTACGATTCGTATTCTGGCGTATTAAAATGAGTGCTAGCGCCATAATTCATTGCCGTTTCGTTAAAAAGAAATTTCAAATGTAGCCAGCTTGCGTAAGTGTTTACTCAATGACATACGCCAGAAAACGAATCGTACACGATTAATCGCAATCGTAGCTTTACCAAATTTGGGCATAATTTATCAAGATAGGATAGTCTGGAAAGTGAACAGAAGTTATTGTGTTTTTTTTGTCTGCAGTTTATGTTAATTTGTGCACGGTCACGGTGATCCCAAAAGAGATACTGGAGTGAAACGTGCAACCACGATGAATAATATTTAATGACGTGGAGACAAGGATTTGTACATGGTGAGGTACAATTCAACATCAAACAAAGGTCTTCTATTTTGTAGCTTTCAAGTTTGCCGGGTTTCCAGAACAACACATCTTGACAAACTATGATTTGGGTTATATCGTTATGTTACAGTCACAAGGCCGTTAAGGTTAGGGCTAGGGTTAAGAACAAACAAAAATTACATTATGTCTAAAGTTTTCTGTTATTGCCGTTGTGTTGACGCGCACGATTATATTTTTCCTTGTTCTTGACCCAAATCACAACCCTTGCAGGACCCTTGGCGCAGAGTTCTGTAAAATGAAATTCGAGTTGAAAGATCCAGAAAAAATCTGTCAAGTCTTTTAACTAAGAGAGCGCCTCAAACAGTGTTTTATTTAGGAACGGAATGCGTGGCACTTCACAGCCTTTCATCACTACCTAATACTTTATCTAACACAACTGTTGCTAATGGCAACGCATGTATTTGCTGCCTAATGAGTTCTAAGAAATATTTGCTTCTCATTATTGTTAAATAAATAAAAAGAGTCGTGTATAGACACTCATAGAGTCAGATATATTTCAAGGTATTTAATTAGCCTTTTTTACGAGGGCCAAAATGTCTGTTTGTCCACGGGAATTGTACCGGAATAGCCGGGCTAGAATTTTTAGTCCGGTCTCATGCTTGCCATATGTGAAGATGAAATTTTTTACATGGCCTTATTAACATAACATGGCTACATCAACAGATGTATAGTTGCCAAGAAGTTTATAAATAGACGTCTCTAGGAAGTTTTAGACCACGTCTATTCCTGATTATAAGGATTAACATCAAGACAGGCTTAGGGTGGAGCAGGGGGAACCACATGGGGGACCCGGGCTTTCAAAAAGAACAGGCAAACATCTGATTGCTAGAGATTGACCACTATACCAAAACATTTCAAAGGAAGAACGACTATGTGAAGTCTGCCAGTTAGGTGAAGTGGAAAATGAACAGCAACAAAATTTCTTGAAATTGGATGGATTCCTTGAAATTGAAAATGTTGCCAACTAGGCAATTTATTACTTCGTTATACGTAATACAAATTAAGAAAATGAAGACAAGTCACTCTTAAATTTTCAACCTTACCATAACCTGTAAATGTGTCATTTCTAATCTATATTTTGTTATTTGATAACCAATAGCACGCACTAATGGCAGCGCTTGTCCAATGATCTTGCGAACTGTCTGTATGATGAATGGTGAACCATGGGGAAATATCACAGTAGTACTGTAGGATAAAAGCACATATAATGATAAATTAAGCAGACAGGCCGACTTAAACTTTCTACATCACTTGATATATAAGACTGCATCCTTGTAAACCGGACATACATATTTTATCCATCACTTCATATTTAATTAAGGAGACTGAATTCCCCAGTACACCAGGGGCGAATGACTGGTTTAGCCCATCTACTTTACCACAAATTTCCACATTTTGTATATCAGTCTGTTGCTTTCAAACCACATCTAACGGTTACCATAGAATTCTTCTAAATCACAATGCCTTAAGGCTAGCTTACATTATCCTGTAACTGCTGTAAGTATGTGTTAATGTAAACCTCTCAGTTTCACTAAAGACCAGCGATTTCAATTCGAAAGTCGCTGAATTCAAATTTCACAAGGCAAATGTAATCACTAATCACAGAACCTCAGCTGTACCTGTAGAGTATAAGTCAGTCTTTAGTTTATTGTCGCTGCATTGATACACAGGATAATACACTGGCCACATGTTTTTTTTCCCAAATATTTTATTTTAGTTAGAGAAATGTGTTTGGTTGTCGTGGTAACGTTATGCTTGCCTACTGTGTGCCTGTTTTTTAATGATTCAAATTCATTCCGTTGTTAGGCTTTGAGTATAATTTGGGTTCCCCAGTGTAGGTATACGACTATATAATAAACTAGGTGGAAGTACTATACAACACACTTAATATATACTTGGAGGCGAGCTAATTGGAGGTCCCGAAGACGTGAAGGCCCCGAAGAACCTTTATTTCATTTAGTTACGACCGGACGAAAACCAAGACAGTTACATGTCATACGTATATATACTCCAATTGTTCACTCAGTTTCTCATACTGAAATAATTCTATTTAACCGAAGACAAACGAAACATAGTCGTAAAGAAGACGAGCTTTAAGGAAATGATTAAACGAGCTTCCTTCGTGTCCAATGGCGACTCCTGTTACAACTTACAAATAATCATATTTCGCTATCAGTTATCCGTGATCTCCTCTAGTGCGACTGGAATATCATGTAAACATTCAAACAAAGTTATCCTAGATCTAAAAATTGATATTTATAGAAAGCTTTTTTTGCTATAAATATGTCTACAGTTCCAGAACAATGTATTGGCTGTTGTAACAATGTAAGTGAAATACGGAACTCAAGTCAGTTTAGGCAATCGACATGATTCTTTCAAAATATATAGGAAGTGAATGTCAGTTCTATTAGACGAGATGCCTAGCCTTCATTTATGTATGTATATGAAGGCTCGTCAACATTATATAGCTTATATACCTTTACAAAACATATGGGTATAATTAAAGTCTATGTATAATAGTTTGTAGACCAAGATATTTGAATGGCTAAATGAGTTCTAAATCCACTTACCGCAAAGATATATAATTTTTCCTTCTAGAATTTATTACAAATATCTTCGGACTGTCTTCTTTCAAATATGAAGCGCGCGCGCACTGTGCGTATTCTATAACAAAGTCCAACATGCGAGTTTTATATAGGATTTCAAGTTCGCGTGTGTTTTTATTGGGGTCAAGCTTTAATCATCTAGTGCGCATGTTAATCTGATTAGCTATTTCGCACGCAAACAGCATGTCTAAATTGTATGTATATATGCAACAGATTAGTTTCATGATTACAGCTCAAATTAGTGCGATAACATTTTGATTTGGAGCTTATCAGATCATCGACTTTGCGGCGTACTCAAACCAGACGTGCTAAATTTCTAATTCATGTGCAAGGCGCGAGTGAGGACAGTAAATAACGCAACAAGGACAAGCAACAGAAGCAAACAAATTCCTTTAAATTAACAGACCTGTTTTCGCTCGATATACTCTAAGTAAATGAATGCAATCCCCAGACAAATTACATCGCTAATGCAAATAATAGAAGAAAACATATACTCCAAATAATGTCTTTTAAGGTTTAGATACGTTCAATGTCCGTGGACTGTGTGTTTCTTTGGGAAGCATGTTCAAAGCTGATCATTTTGTGAGCAAGGAAATTTCAATATAACTAATTTTTTCACTATTTTCAAGACTGAACAAACCTAATAGTAATACTCATGTACAATTGTACAAACGAGGTCACAGACACGGGTACAAATCTAATCCTACGGAATATATTCACACCTATATCTGTACAAACTATTTCTCCTACCCATAATTTATCTTGTTGAACGCGCAAAATGCATAGTGTCATTTAAACCAACATTCTTCAAGCATATTTTCAAAAGGACGGTTCGTGACTTACGTTGAGCAAGCAGCCTTGAAAATACATGCATATATTTGTGCTTGCGTATTGTCACTTGGGTAAACAGGCCTGAAAAATAAAGATCGAACGTTTTGCGCAAAACCTTTAGCAATGCGGCAGTGCGTACAAACAAGGGGATTTGCGCGAAACGTCCAGCCAACATGAAGCAAGCTCAGTATATTTTGTCACTGTGATTGTTACATAACCATGTATTCTA